ACTCCATGCAGTCTCACAATCTCCTTCGTGTATAGCTTTGCCAATCTTTCAAGAAGATAAGTAATGCTGATAGGCAAAAAGTGTGCACTCTTGGTGAGCCTATCAACCACTACCCATACTGCATCATAGTTGTTCACTGTTCGTGGTAGCCCCACCACGAAGTCCATGGTCACGTGCTCCCACTTCCATTCTGGAATGGTAAGTGGTTGCAAAAGTCCCGCCGGGTGCTGATGTTCCGCCTTGACTTGTTGGCAAGTAAGGCACCGACTCACGTACTCTGCGATGTCCCTCTTCATACCCGACCACCAGTAACTTTCCTTCAAGTCTCGGTACATTTTAGTACCTCCTGGATGCATGGCATACGCCGAAGAATGAGCCTCCTCCAGTGTAGACTTTTGGAGCTCCTCATTCCTTGGTATGCATACACGGCCTTTAAACAATAAAAGACCGTCATCACGTACCCGAAAGTTCTCAACAGGTCCCTCAAGGATCCGTTCACGGATCTTCTGACATTCTTCATCAGTGGCCTGACATCTACTGATCTCACTCAGCAATGTAGGCCTAACCTCGAATCTAGCAATGAGGACCCCACTCGTGGACACCTCCACTTGTGCCCTTAATGAGCGTAGACACGCGAGTAACGTCCCTGATGTACTCTTCCTGCTCAGTGCATCGGCTACTACATTGGCCTTCCCGGGATGATAGTCGATGATCAAGTCATAGTCCTTGATCAACTCCATCCATCTCCTTTGTCTCATATTCAACTCTTTTTGAGTGAATACATACTTCAAGCTTTTATGATCGGTGAAAATGTGACACGTCTCCCCATAGAGATAATGCCGCCAAATCTTCAGTGCAAACACTACCGCTCCCAACTCTAGATCGCGGGTAGAGTAGTTTGCCTCGTGTTTCTTCAATTGCCTTGAAGCATAGGCAATCACCCGACCGTTTTGCATTAGAACACATCCAAGCCCTTGGATGCTAGCATCACTGTATATGTCGTACCCTATCCCTTGTGTGGGTAGAGCGAGGACTGGTGCTTCTGTAAGCCGTTTCTTTAGTTCGAGAAACCCTTTCTCACAATTGTCGTCCCATATGAACTTGGCCCCTTTCTTTGTGAGCTTTGTCAATGGAGACGCCAATACAGAAAATTTTTCAACAAACTTACGATAATATCCTGCTAAGCCGAGGAAACTACGTATTTCTTTCACGTTTTTGGGTCTCTCCCAATTCATAATGGCTTCTATCTTGGCTTTATCCACCGCAATGCCTGAACCTGACACGACATGCCCGAGGAACCCGATCTCTTTGAGCCAAAACTCGCATTTAGAGAACTTGGCAAAGAGTTGTTTTTCCCTTAGCCGTCCAAGTACAAGTCTCAAATGATCTTCATGCTCCTCCTCACTCTTGGAGTATATCAAAATATCGTCAATGAATACTATCACGAATTGATCTAAGTATTCACTGAACACACGGTTCATCATGTCCATGAATGCCGCCGGTGCGTTGGTTAGACCAAATGACATCACCAAAAACTCGTAGTGACCATACCTAGTACGAAATGCACTCTTTGGTATGTCACTCTCCTTGATCTTCAACTGATGATACCCCGACCTCAAATCGACCTTTGAGAATACCATTGCCCCTCGAAGTTGATCAAACAAGTCATCAATCCTCGGTAAAGGATACCTGTTCTTAATTGTGACCTTGTTCAACTGTCGATAGTCTATACACATTCTTAGTGTACCATCTTTCTTCTTTACGAAGAGTACGGGTGCTCCCCACGGTGAATGACTGGGTCTAATGAACCCGTTGTCCAATAGCTCTTGAAGTTGAACCTTCAACTCTTGAAGCTCGGCCGGTGCCATTTGATAAGGAGGAATCGAAATGGGTTTGGTTCCCGGCTCAACTTCAATCACGAATTCGATCTCTCTATCGGGTGGAAGCCCCGGTAAGTCCTTTGGAAAAAATTCCGGATAATTGCACATGACACGTACATCATTGATGTCCACTTCTTTCTTTGTGTCGTCCACCACATACGCGAGGTATGCGTGGCATCCCTTCTTTATCATCTTCCGTGCCCTCATCACGGATATGATACAAGCGTGAGATTTTCCACGATCTCCCTCAAAGCGTAACGGGTTTCCTTCATCATCTTCAAGCTCTAGTATTTTGGTGTAACAATCTACTCGGGCACGGTGCTTCTAGAGCCAATCCATCCCTATGATTGCATCGAACTCCAACATACCTAGAGGTATGAAATCACAAGTCAAAAGTTGACCCGTCACTTCCACCTCGCATGATGGATAGTAATGATTCCTCTCCATGTCATCTCCCAATGGTGTGGAGACTAACAAAGTTTGCGTCATTGGTGTCAATGGCACGTCAAGACCTTCGGCGAATGCCTCACTCACAAATGGCCCCCACCCATGTGGGAGGTCATCCTACTTTGTCCCAAAGTGTACAATTTGCCCCGAAAGTTGTATTTTCCGGACTGTTTTAGATATATTTTATTTTATCGGGTTAAATAAATATATTACGTGTTCTTAATCATTATAACATTTAGAATGAATATGCATTCCCCCACTTTAATTTATAAGTCTCCAAAATCCAATTTCGGGCTTTTATCTGATAAATTTATCGATACCGGTATTTGGGCCTCTATTGACCAATCGGTCAACTCTGGGCCTTTCCATGGCCCAAATGAAGTATCCACCATCTATAAATATTTTCTAGACCCAGATGAATATAATATGTGGTCCCGATAATATCGGGCGGTCCCCACTCCCGATGTGGGCCCCACGTGCATTTTACTATTCACGCGAAAAAATTAATACAAATTCACAACCTCGTAAATTCACTAAACATTTCATAGGGTTCAATAAATTATTCGCTTAAAGATAAATACATTTGGGGACGGTGTTACACAAGGCCCCATCTTCCTCAGAAGAATAAATATGTGTTCAAATTACAAAATACGGAAGGCAAATGAGCGGCCAAGCCCTCATCACGCACCCATATAGGTGACCAACGGCCCAAGGCCTTTTCCTCTCATAAGGATGAATAAAATGTAACATCATTACTCAAGGTACCAAGCACCAAGTGTGCGGAATACACCCGCCACTCCCAAAACAACAAGTGTTTTTGGGCAAGCCGCTCCCCTCGAGGATGCCCCCATGCATACATTATTCCATGCATACTCATACCTACATAAGAAAAAAACCGGGGGGGGGGGGGGGGTGGTATAATACCTCTTGGCTCCGGAAGGTACCAAGTACCCCCGACCATTTGTGTTTCACACACAAATAAAACCCTTCCCTGAAACGCTTTCCGTGCCATCCCCTGAGGGGAGGCAGGCAACGAACCATGTCCCGGGCCCAGGATTTGACTTTCAAAAATGAAACGCTCCTTGTGTTATTCCCTAAGGGAAGCATGCAACAGACCATGTCTTGGGCTGAGGGAACGACTTTCAAACCCGAGGCACTTTCCACGCCATCCCCCAAGAGGAGGCAGGCAACAGACGATGTCTCGGGCCGAGGAAATGACCCTCAAACCCCTCGGGATCTCGGAAGGTCAATTCCCGATGGGGGAGCCAGCGGTTTATCCCGTTGCCTCCCATATAGGCCAAGCCTTTCCAAGAAGTCAAGTTTCTTGATGCCTCTCCTACAACACATAAAAAAAAGTGTAGGGGGGAAGGGACCCCTTGGATGCCATGCTCCTGGAGGCTCTACAACAAAAACATCACCCAAGAGATGCACTCCCGAAGGCCCTCTCTCAAAGTACAAAGAAATTTACTAAGTCCGAGACTATCTGGTTACTTAGTGGTAAACCTATACTCACCACACTCTTTATCGGGGGGCGTTACTTTATTCATCATGAAGAGGGGCACACCAATAAACTTCACCAAATTTTGGCGAAGTCCAAAATTTGACCAAAGTCGGCGGCTAAGGCAGATGACAAATACGAGGGGTCACCTTCCGAAGGGACTTCGAGGCAAATACACCACAACATGGAAATTTGGCTAAGTCCACGGTTTACACCCCTCGGTTGAAAACTTCCAACCGCATAATTTGAAGACCGAAGACAGCCCCCATGAAACTCCCCTAAGTCCACAAATCATGAAGGCTTGGAGCATCACCTAAGGGGATACTATATACCGAAGGCAAGATCCTATCATATTCCTTCTGAGGTGGAATTTCCTGAATTTCTACCTTGGCTAAGTAACCATCGGTTGAGGGCATAACTTTACAACATCCCCGAACTTTGCTAAGGTCACTATGGAAGAGGCCTCATTTAGCTCATCCTAGCCGAGGGCTGACCACAATTACGATTGGGGCGAGATGGAAATTTTTCTAAGTCCATAAAAGGTCCCCCGGTAACCTACGAAGATGCTTAGAGGAATTTCTAAGTTATCAAAAACATTTACTCGAAGGCTACATTGTGGATTTTTACTTGGAAAATTTCTAAGTACCAAAGACATTTGGACAGATGCATACAACAAAGGACAATGAAGGCTACCTATTTCATACAGCTAAATGAAGATGTCAACCGAGGGCCTACTGGTACAAATCACTTGGGAAATTTTCTAAGTCCTAGATGTTTGGCCCTCGGTTAACTCGCGATACAGACATACATTCATAAAGCTACGCAGAAAGCATAAAGGAAAGCGAAGGCATTCATTCAGAAAACATCGAGGGTAAATTCAAACATCAAGAGACCGAAGGCATTAATGCATTCATTCATAAAAATAAACGAAGGAGTTTGTTACATCTTTGCCGAAGCCGAAAGCTACAAAATGTTTATACATAACATTGTTCAAAAATTATTTAAAAGTACATCAAGGATTATCAACTTCAGCAGCACCCCCTTCGGCCTCTTTATCTTCATCTTGAGGCTTCGAAGTAGCGTCCCCTCCGGCCTCTTTATTTTCATCTTGAGCCTCTTGCATCAGCTCAGAATCCTCAAGGCCCGACCTTTCAACATCGGGGGGAGGGCCATGCGAACATCTGGTTGGAGAGGGGGAAGGCCGTAGGCTGCCAGATCAAATGCCTTTGGGTCCATCCCTAAATGCCGAGCAAGCCTCCTCTAGACGAGGGCTTGAGTAAAGAACTCGCCCCCTTCATAATAGTCCTTGCCCTTCCAGGCCAACCATTCTGCGTCGGGGCCGGTATTCCATTCGTCAACAGAGGCTTCTACAACTAAGACCAGCCACCGTTTCCGGTCCTCAGCGTTCCACCCCTCAGCAGCAACAGCGTCTTCTCGGGCCTTGGCAACGACCCCTTCCTTGGCGGCCTCGGCAGCCTTTTTGGCAGCCTCTGCAGCAGTCTTCTCAGCCTCGGCCATGCCCTCGGCTCTAGCCTCTGCCTTAGCTTTTTCCGCTGCAACCCTTTCTTGCCGAAGGGTTTCCTCCAGCCTCGCCATCTCCCGAACGGCGGCAGCATTGTCATGGACGAGTTTCTTCAAAGTCTCGTCCTGTTGCGCTTTCTGAAGGCACAAGCCTTCCACCCTCCGGACCTGCTCGCCGAGGGAAATGCAAGCCTGTAAGAAACAAGCAAATGGGTTGGACCACTGAGCAAGATATGCTAAGGCCAAAAAGACTAAGAAAATGAAAAGAACAGATGGGGGATCTTACCGTAAGGGAAGACCGGAGAATCTTAGAATTGAGGGCTTCATCATCTAGCCGGCTCAGGAATGCCCTATCCAGCTCGGGGGTGGCACCCTTCAGGAACTCCCTGGGGTCCACCGTGCCATGCATGATGGCGGTTCCCTTAACGAGGGAGAATTGCACATTCTCCCGAGGGATGCCCACCTCAACCGAAAGGGGCTTGGAGGGGGTCGTCGCCGCCACAACCGAAGGCTCGGACGAGGAGTGCTCATCCACGATCAGCACCGGGGGAGCCTTCTTCCCGGCATCCCCTTTCTTCAGCTTCTTGCCGGCGGGCACGACAGTTTTGCCCACCGCCTTTCTCTTGGTAGCCGCAATTCCGTCGCCTCCGGCCTCGGCTCCACCAACAGCAGCAGGGATAGCCGAGGAGGGCCCCTCGTCCCTTTGGAAGAATTCATCGACAGGTTTTTGTGTTCCCGTCTCCTTCTTATTTGGCTCCTTGGCCAACTTCTTCTTAAGGTTAGCAAAGTTCCTCACGTCCATACTAACACCTGCAAGTAGGAGGGCTGTGCATTAACCGGGTCGGACCGTATTTTAGACCGGAAGCGGACCGGAATGAACTGGACCGGACCGGACCGGTATTAACCGGTCCGGGTTTCGGTCCTTAGTTTTTCAAGATTCCGGGTTCCGGTCCGGTCCGGGTCAAACCCGGAAAAAACAGATCCGGACCGGAATGAACCAGTAAACTATTGTTCCGTAAAATATATACTTCATTCTGTATCATTAGTCATTATGTTTATGGTTTACTTTTGTCTTTTATTATATAAACGAGTATATACGGAGTGTGTATTTGGTGTCTAATTTTTTCCTAAGTTGTTTTTTATTTGTTTATTTATGTGAAGGTGTGCACTACTATGATCGTAGGTTATATTTATTTGATTTTTTCAAATTGCTTTTTATTTGTTTCTTTATTTGCATGTGTGCATGTAGTTTATACGTAATATATTTTTGGACGTAATTTAGTTTTTATTACTCTACAATACATTTTGCCATTTTAATATACACAAAAGATTGTAGTTTTAATTATTGTGGAAACTAATTGTTACGACTGAATAATTTTGATGACTATATTCCAAAACTAATAAATGAGCTAAACAATTATTTAGCATATTTAGCATATCCGCACATAAAATTATAGTTTGAAACAACAACAACATCCAAGCCGTATTCCTTGAAAAAAATTGGGATTGGTTAACATCACTCTAAGATAATATGGCTTTTCTAAAACCGGGTCAGTTAGGACCAAAACCGGACCGGATCGGAAAATTCAGGTCCGAACCGGTCCGGACCGGTTAGATTCTGGTTCGGTCTTCGGTCCATAGAAAATGATGATTCCGGTTCCGGTCCGATCCGGTCCGGTTTTGGACCGGTGCACACCCCTACCTGCAAGACACCACAAATCAATAAGGACGAAGGATCAAGGCAATAACAAAGGAAAGACTATACAAAAATTTCTAAGTACAAAACACGGGAGCCTTCGGGAATCACCTCCGACACTCGCATAAACGCAATCTATGAGGGGGTATTTCTCATCTTCCTCCCCTACCAGCCTATATCGGCAGAAGCTCAAAGCGAACAGATCATCCGGGAGAGTGGCCTCCTTGATTGTCACGTGCTTGTCAGATCCATCTGGCTTCTTGGCAAGCTTCTTGCCATTCTTCTCGAGGGTAGCACTCCCCACCTTCGGGTGCCTCTGGAAGTGATCACGAAGAATGGCAGAGAAGGGGTTCTCCCCCATGTGGATATAGCAGAACTTATCCTTCCATCCTTTGTGGGACGAAGCTACGTCGTCAAACAGCCTGAACTCCGGGAGTTGCTGCAAGTTGGCGAAGCCTCCGGCGTTTGAATGCCCCCCCCCCTCGGCATAGGTTGAACGACAGGAAGAACTGGTCCAAGGTGGGTGGGACCCCCTGGCTACGACAGAGGGAAAGAAAGCCGTCAATATAGGAATGACAGTTGGGTGTCAACTGACAGGGAGCCATCTTCACGTACCCCAAATACTCCAGCAAGAAAGGATGGAGCGGAAACCGGAGCCCCAATTCCACTGACAGGATGTGGATGGCGAAACAGCCCTTGGGCACACGCAACAACACGTCATCTGGCCCCGGCTCCACCACACGTGCTGAAGGGCCTGCGGAAAGATGCGTCACTTGATACTCAACATCAGTCGCCCTCGTCTTCACGTCCAGAGCCGCATTATTTAAGTACGAGTGGCCCTCGAGGATTCCCACCGGTTGCCCAACATCGACGGTGGTCTGTTTCTTCCTCGGTACATCCCTCACCTTCTTCTTCTTACACGGGATCGCACTAAGAGGCTCCGGATCGAGGGGCCGGGAGCTACTTGCCTCACCAGCACCGCGTGGGGGAAGGACAGCGACGGTGACCTTCTGCCTCTCCTTCTCTTCTTCCTCATCAGCTACTTGAACAGCGAGGGCCAGTTCCTCATCCTCGGCCACCTGTTCGAAGTCTTCGGCTTCGGCCTCCATTCTGAGGTTGCTTTGAACTTCCATCGCCACCGCTGAATCATTAATGACTGAAAGGTGCTCACTTGAAGACTCTACACCAGAGATACTCTAAGTCTACCGGAGCCTCCTTCGAGATGTTTTGAGAATCGCTTCCAGAAGACATCTCCGAAGACGAAAGCCGAAGGATTTGGGAATAAGGAGAAAATTCCTAAGGCTCTAAGGCTCTAAACACTGAATCAAAGACGGAGAAGCAAAGTATGCGAGGAGACTCAAGAAGAAGTGAAAAACTGACCTCGAAAAACTTGGTTTGATCGAAGGAAATACTTTATCTCTCTAGAAAAACCGGCAGAGCTTCGTTACAAATTCAAAACGCGCAAGGAAAATGAATTCGGCCATGGGGTATTGATGGAGTATATGGCCCAGGGACCCCCGGCCCATAGACTCCCACTACTATAACAAAGGCCCATTAAGCCCAGGAAGCACGGCAGGCCCAAATCACAGCGCCCCAAGTGCCAAGCAGCCCACAACGTACACTTGGGTGCCTTCGGCCCCCGCGGCCGAAGGCTCATAAACTTACAGTACGGCTGTTTTTAAGTACTCGAAGTTACTAGGAGAAAACAGAGAAAATAGTAGCCTTCAGCAATTAGAGCCCTCGACACTCTGAGGCCCTCGGTACGCAGAGCCTTCAGATTGTCATCTACAGCCGAAGGCATCCTCCTCGACAGAATCTCTCAATCACATGTGTTGGATCACCGTACGAAGTACAGACGTCGCGTCCAACCACCGTATTTAATGCGACCACATGCGAATGCCAGTGCCACTGGTGTGTAGCATATAATGGGCACACAACTATTTTTTTTACCCAAGGAAGTAGGGTGTCGAACCACAGAGAAGCGAGAAATAAAATAATTAAGCACAAACTAAGGATTAAAGTTGGGAATGCGTTTCTTTTGATTTTTGTTTACTTGGAAAAGTAATTAAATAAAAGTGATTGAGAGAAGAGACTTTTATCAACACAAAGTTCAACCAATAGCAAGTAGGGGTAGAAATTGGCAACTAATTGTTCAATGCTCATTTGTAAGACATAATTGCTAATTTTATTCTTAGATAGATTGTGAGAAGTTGTAGATAAATATTTTAGGACCCAACACAAGTCGCCTAAAATAAGTAACTAGTCAACATTTCCCAGTGATGGCCAAAACGAGACTAGTTGTTTAAGTGCAACGACAACCTTAATTATTAACTATATTATTTACCCAACCCCGTGGTGTAAATAATATAATTAAATAATTAAATTCTCCCGTAAAACTTCAATCTGGGACAAGGTAAAAGAAGTTTAACGGTGTGTTCAGAAAGTGTTCATTTGTGTATTTAACAAACAATATGTTTATGATTGAGTACTCATAATATATATCATAAACACAACATAATTAAGTTTCTGGACACAACAATCTAAATAGAATAAACTTAACAATTAAAATCAATACAAATTAAAACATTATAAGAACAATTAATTAACCAATTTCTAGCCCCAAATTTATTTAGCTATACATGTTGGGAAACATAGAAATAGATGAATCCATGATTAAAGTACAAGATTTAATGAGATAAGGAAGATCAAACTTGTGATTGATGACAATCCTTGGAGCTTTGATGCTAATCTTGACTTAATCTTGGATGAGAAAGTGATTAGTTATGGTTGAAGATGGGTTGATGATTTGGGGTTGAGAAATGAAGAGAGAAGGAGGAGGAAATGTTTCTGGGATGTTTAGAGAGAGGTTGGTCCGAGCTTATGTGTGGAGGAAGATGGATTAAGGCAATATAATGATAAGGTGATTAATCATTAATTGTTGGGATTTACGGAACAGATGAGTTTATGTACAACAAAGCGCAGTAAAGTTTCAAAAGTGACAAGTAGCTCAACGGATAAGCACTTCAGAGGAAAACTCGGAGATCGTGGGATCGATTCTCGGCTTCATCATTTTGTTCTTTTCTTTGCCGCGTTCTGAAGGAATATAACAATTGCCAGCTGAATATGTGCAACATTGATCACTTAGCACACTGGTTGTAGTAGGCATTCTTCTACCCTATTTCCAGGGATCGAATCCCACCTCCAGCATTTTTAGTTTTGATTCTTTTCTTCAATTTACTCCTTATTTGTTTTGAAGGAAATTCCACTTTTATTGACCTCTAACTTGAACTTTTATTTTTCTTCTTTTGTTCACTCTAATGTATCCAAATAGCATCAAAAGTACCTGAAAATACAAAATACCCGTGTAGGACTGCACAAGTACAAACTAACGACAAATTATAAAAATATGTACAAAAGTAGAATTTTAATAACTAAAATTAATAACAAACTAAGCCTAAAAAGTGTGTAAAATATAAGTACATCAGCCACCCCGGTTGAGGTGACCCCTCGACCACCAGAATGCTGACACGTGTCCTTATCTAGCATTTATTGTTGCTATAAATAACACCTTTTTCCCCATTTGTAAACCACGCTCAAACACTCAATACAATTCAAATATACACTTGAACTCTTTATCTCTCTTACTTATTTGTTCTGACTTCTCTCTAGTTACTTCCCGCAGTAACCCCTCGGATAGGCTACCCCCGGGTACACTATCCATCATTTGGTGCTTTCATTGAGAGGTCAAACAATTAAGTAAGAAACCCTCGCCTTCAACTCAAAACACCTACCAAAATGGGAAGAACCACCCGTGCTCAGTCCAAGAACCTAGAGGACAACAACGTGGCCCTCGGTGAAGTCAACGCCCCCGGAGCCTCTAACAAGGCTCCCGAGGGCGGGGTCATCACTGAGTTGGAACAGGCTGTTGTTAACCTGCGCCTTCAGCTCCAGCAAAACGCTCCCGATGCCCGCCTTGGCATCGAAACCCGAAAGAGGGACCAGAGCGAAAATCAAGTGAGCCATCCGGTTCTCACTATCGACGTACAGTCGGCATTCTCTGCCTTCATCCAAACACTCACTCAAAACCCAGGTGCCTTCGGCACTCTGGTGCCCCTTCAACCGCAAATCGGGGAGAACACTGTTCTTCTCCCACGTCCACCCCCCTTTGTGAACCCCTACCCCTCGGGTGGGGAACGACGAAGGGGTCGTAGCTCAAGACACTGCCTCCCAGGAAGTCCAATCTCGAGACCAACGTGGTGCGAACAAAGAAAGGCCTCGGACCTCAGCCCTCAAGAGGCTCGGAGGAGCGCAAAACTGCCGAGAGGTCCAAGACCGCCTCGGTGGAAAGGCGTCCCAAAGACCCCAAGAGAGTGGGGGATCCGTCTCAAGGGCAGACGAGAGGCGTCCCCATCAGGACAAAGGCAAGGCACCACTTCATGCCGATGACGCAAGGTATCAAATCAACCAGGCCCACTTGGCCCGTGTTCATTCGCAGGGGGCGGAGGCCCTCCCGAAGGATCACATGGACGAGATTATTGCGGCCCTCCAGCACCGGCTTGATGAAATGGAGGCCCATCGAGCACATACCGCCGTCGCCACCCCTCATGCAGATCCCAAATATGAGGCCATGATGGCCAAAATGGAGGAGATGCAAAAGAGAATAGCCGAGGGCTCCGGGGAACCCGTCATCCAACTCCGGACTAGGACGCCATTTACCCCAAGGGTATTGGCGACCCGAATTCCAGAAAAATACCGGGGGCAACCCATCAGGCCCTATGAAGGAAAGACAGATCCCCAGGAGCATTACAGCATATATCAGAACAGTATGATGATGGTGGGGGCATCGGACGAATATTTGTGCCGTTGGTTCCTCTCCACCTTAGAGGGACCAGCATACGAATGGTTCAACCAACTGCCCGAATGCTGCATCGATTCATGGCAGGAACTCGCCCAACGTTTCTTGACGCAGTTTGCAGGAAGGCACCGGTCAAGAAAACATTTCTCCCACTTGCTGATGGTGAGACAAAGAAAGGAGGAGACCCTTCGGGACTTCTTGGAACGCTGGAGGACGGAGGCGGATAAAGTTGACGACGCTGATGATGGGACCCTCCTGGCTCTCCTTCAAACAGTCCTCCGCCCCGGGAATTTTTCAAGGAGCCTCATCATCGAGCCTCCCCGCGATTACATAAGGGCCCTACAGCGGGGGGGACCGGTACGCCAAGGCTGAGGAGGTGGGAAAATGCCATCACAACCCTGATCAACAACACCCTCGGCCAGATGACAAAGGCAACTGGGGGCCGGGGGCTCCCCATAATCAATCCAAGGGTTCGGCACCCCCCGGTGATCACCCCCGACATGGCCAAGCCAAACCCGGGGGAGGTTACAAGGGAAACCCGAAGGCTTGGGCCCAGCCCATTTTCTTGGAGCACCCTCGGATGCCCATGACACACCCCGTCAGTGTCATCCTAGACTTTGCCGAGGAGAGGGGCCTAGTGGAGAGTGACTCTCGCGCACCCCTAGAGGTATATGCCATCAACCCCAATTATCCTTACTGTCGGTTCCATCGCAACCAAGGGCACAGCACCGACGACTGCCATCAGCTAAAGACGCCTATTGAGAGGCTGATACAGGCAGGCCACCTGTCCCAATTCATCAGAGGCCCTCTGCCTCAGGGGACCCCTCACTACCAGGGGCCCTCTAATAAAGCAAACGCTTGGGTCAACCCAAACATTATCCCCCTTTGCGACCAGAAGGGTAAGAAAAGGGAGATCGGGAACCTCGACGAGGAGGAAGAGTACAACCAGTACCCGGAGAAGAAGCGCGACATCCACATGATCACTGGCGGCAACACCGGAGGCGACTCCACGAGCCAAAGGAAGAAGTGGGCTCAATCTCTCTACGTTGGGGAGGTCAACCACATGCCCCCAACCAAGAGGCCGAGGGGGGATCCCATCTATTTTACGGATGCGGATCTGCCCCTGGGTGTACTTCCTCACAGGGATGCCCTCGTCATCCGTACGGAGATCAACGACACCATCATCCTCCGGACCTATATTGATACCGGAAGCTCTGTCAACGTGATGTATCTCAGCACCTTCCGGGAGCTTGAGCTTGATATGGGGTCCCTTCGGCATATCAAAACCTCCCTCTCCGGTTTCACTGGGGACAACATCGATGCCAAAGGCGTCATCACCCTTATGGTTGAGTTCGGCGATGGATCTCATAGAGCCAAGCTCGAAGTGGAATTCGTCGTCGTCAACCTCGACTGCGCGCATAATATCATTCTCGGTCGGCCTGCCCTCGAGGATTTGGAAGCCATCATCTCTATGAGGCACCTCTGCCTCAAATTCCCCACACCTACCAGCATCGGCTACTCTAGGGGGAATCAAAAGCTCTCCCGGGCTTGCTACCTTCAACTCACCAAGAAGGTAAGTAAAACTGAACTCCGCATTGACACAATCACAGCCGCCTTGAATGAGGAGGAAAGTAGGCCGAGGGCTGAGCCTGCCGAAGACACTGAAGACTTTGTACTCGATCCGGCCAAGCCGGAGAGAGTCTTGAAGATTGGAGCCAAGCTCCCCGAAGACTTGAAGACCGGCATAACTGAAGCCCTCCGCGCCCACTCCATTGTTTTTGCATGGAGGTCGGAGGACATAACGGGGATCCACCGAAGGGTCATCACTCACTGCCTGGCGGTAGACCCTTCGGCCAAACCGGTACAGCAGAGAAGAAGGCCCCTCTCGACCGAGAGAAGGGACTTCGTCAAGAAGGAGGTCGCCATGCTCCTCTCCATCAAACACATCAAGCAGGTGAAATACCCTTCGTGGTTGGCTAATGTGGTACTAGCACAGAAGCCACCCGCCTTCCGCATGTGTGTGGACTACACTGACTTGAATAAGGCGTGTCCAATAGACCCCTTCCCTCTACCAAACATTGATCAGCTGGTAGATGAGACCGCAGGATGCGAAATCATGTCATTCCTCGATGCCTTCCGCGGGTACCATCAAATCTATATGCATGAAGAGGATGCCTAAAAAACAGCCTTCATGACATCGGAAGGCATCTTTTGCTATCTTGTGATGGCCTTCGGCTTGAAGAACTCCGGCGCCACTTACACCCGGATGGTGGCCAGGGTTTTTCAATCCGTCCTCGGGCGCACCATGGAGGCCTATGTCGACGACATGATCATCAAAAGCAAGTAATCGTCAAACCATGCTAACGACCTTTGGGAGATCTTCGCCATAATGTAGAAATTCAACCTTCAGCTGAACCCGAAGAAGTGCACCTTCGGTGTGCAAGGAGGCAAGTTCCTAGGCTACATGGTGAGCCGAAGGGGTATCAAAGCCAACCCCGAGAAAATCCAGGCCATCGTCAACATGGAGCCCCCACGCAATGTAAAGTAGGTCCAGCGGCTGATGGGCTGCCTGGCAGCCCTCAACCGCTTCCTATCCAAGTCAGCGGAGAAGTCCTTACCCTTCTTCCAAATCATGAGGAAGACCACCGGCTTCCTATGGACCTCAGAATGCCAGGAGGCCTTCGATGAGCTAAAAAAATACCTTTCTCCCCCTCCTGTGCTCTCCGAACCCAAGGTAGGGGAAACTCTGTACCTTTACCTTGGTGTCAGCCCGACTGCCATCAGCTCAGTCCTCATCCAGGAGTAAGACGACGTCCAGCATGCCATCTTCTATGTTAGCAAGACCCTCAGGGAAGCAGAGCTCAGATATTCCCTTGTGGAGAAGACGGTGCTAGCCATCGTCTGGACCATCAAGAAGTTAGGCCACTACTTCCAGGCCCATCCGGTCCAGGTCCTCACTCACCAACCCCTCAGCGCTTTGATGAGGAGTCCCACCAGCTCCCCCCGGATGGTAAAATGGGCCATCTTCCTCAGCCAATACAACATTGACATCCGTCCGAGGCCTGCCATAAAGGGCCAAGCCCTGACAGACTTCGTGACAGAGTGCACGGCCAGATCAGCGGTAGATGAGGAGCCCTCGGCACCCTCGGATGAGTGGTGGACCCTCTATACCGATGGCTCCTCAGCCACCAAAGCATGCGGGGGAGGAGTAGTTCTCATTACTCCCGAGGGCTTCCGGGCCTACTATGCCATCCGCTTCTCCTTCAAAGTCTCCAACAACGAAGCGGAATATGAAGCCCTCCTCCGTGGCCTTCGGCTGGCAGCAAATATGAAGGCCAGAATGGTCCACGTCAAGTGTGACTCCAAGCTTGTCGTGGGCCAAATCTCCGGAGACTATGAGTCCAAAGAAGGAAGAATCAAGCAGTACAAGGAGGCGGCCAAGGAGTTGCTTAAGGTATTTGAGACACACTCTCTCACTCAAATACTGAGGGCTCAAAACTCTGAGGCCGATATTTTGTCAAAGCTCTCGGCCGAATCCCCAGAGCACCTCTCTAAGATTGCGAGAATCGAGGAGCTCAACCTATTGAGCATACATGCGAGCCCCATCATGGATATACATCTCAGACTGGAGGACTGGATCTCTGACATCATCACCTTCATCACCACGGGGTAACTTCCTGAGGACGAAGCCCACGCTAAACTAGCGAAACTGAGGGCTCCCAGCTACACCCTCGAGAATGGAAGGCTTTACAAAAGATCTTACAATGGTACCCTCCTTCGGTGCCTTCATCCGGATGAAGCCGAAGTGGCAATGGAGGAAGTACACAGTGGCACTTGCTCAGCTCATCAGGGACCCTTCTCCATGTCCCGAAAGCTCATAGTCCAAGGATACTTCTGGCCTACGAAGGCCCGAGATTGTGCGGATCTCGCCCGAAGGTGCGCTGCCTGTCAACATTTTCAGAAGGCTCCCCGGCAGGCCACCGGTCAACTATGCCCCCATCAGCACGTCCATACCCTTCTCTAGATGGGGCATAGACCTTGTGGGCCCTCTGCCGAGGGGTACCTCCAACAACAGGTACATCATCGTTGCCATCGACTACTTCACCAAATGGGTGGAGGTTGAGCCCCTCGCCAGCATCACCGAAGCTAGATGCCGCCACTTTGTCCTCAAGAACATCCTCACAAGGTTTGGCGTCCCTCAACAAATCATCACCGACAACGGGACTCAATTTGAGACAGCCCTCTTCTGTGCCCTCCTAGAGGCATGGGGCATCAAACATACCTTCTTATCCGTTGCCTACCCTCAAGGCAACGGACAGGTGGAGAACGCCAACCGCACTTTACTCGAGAGCCTGAAAAAGAAACTCGAAGCCGGAGGGGGGGGGGGCTGGGTAGAAGAGCTCCACAACATTCTATGGGCCTACCGCACCACCCCTCGGCGGGTAACAGATGAAACACCCTTCTCCCTTTGCTACGGATTCGAAGCCAAGGCTCCCACTGAAGTAACCCTTCCTACCCGAAGGGTGGCCCAATATGATCCGGAAGTTAACGACGCCAACATGGCTCTCGACCTTCACTTCATCTTAGAACGCCAAGAGCAAGCCTTCATCAGGGCTGAAAACTATAGGCGCCAAGTCAAAGGCTACATCGACGCGAAAGTCTGTTCCCGAGAATTTCAGGTGGGGGACTACGTCTTCCGAAGAAGGGAAGCTAGCCAACCAACCGAGGACGATAAAATGGCACCCAAATTTGAGGGTCCATACATCATTGCAGTCGTCATCAAACCGGGAACTTACAAGCTCAGGCGCCCCAACGGGACCGAGGTCCCTCGACATTGGAATGTACACCATCTAGTTAAATTTTATCAATAATATTGGCGTGGCCAAGCCCTCATTAGTAATGAATGTATTATCCATCGGCCCAAGGCCTCCAATTTTTGAAGAACGAAGGCATGTTGAAGACACCAAGCACAAGATCAGAACACTTGTGGGCGGCCAAACCCTCATACAAGCACCTGGCCCAAAGCCCTATTTCAATCAAGACCCTTCGGTACCAAGTGTCGAGGGTAGACACCCCAATCACCTACAACGATGAAGAAAACACCAAGTCTTTTAAACGAAGACCCCTCGGTATTAAGTACCGAGGGCATATGCAAAAATAAACACCAAGTGTTGTTTTTGAAGTCGTACCCCTCGAGGACGCATTTATACCGAAGGCGTCACCTATCGGTCCCGGCGGCACCAAGAGCCCCCGGCCATTTGAAACCAATGTGCAAATGAAACCCTTCCCTGAAACGCTTTCCGCGCCATTACCCCAAGGGTATGGCAGGCAACTAATATGCCCAGGATTCGACTTTCAAAAAACGAAATGCTTTCTGCACCACTACCCCAAGGGTATGGCAGGCAACTAATATGCCCAGGATTCGACTTTCAAAAAACGAAATGCTTTCTGCGCCACTACCCCAAGGGTATGGCAGGAAACTAATATGCCCAGGATTCGACTTTCAAAAATGAAACGCTTCCCACGCCATTACCCCAAGGGTATGGCAGGCCAAAGACTACGTCTCGTGCTGAGGGAACGACTTTCAAAACTGAGGCGCTTTCCGTGCCATCCCCCAAGGGGAGGCAGGCAACAGACTACGTCTCGTGCCCAGGAAATGACCCTCGATCCCCTCGGAACTCGGAAGGTTAACCCGAGGGGGGAGCTGATGGTGTATATTGTTGCCTCCCGATAGGCCAAGCCTTACCAAGAAACCAAGTTTCTTGAAGCCTTCCCTTCACTACAAAAAAAAATGGAGTGGAGGGGAGTAGACTCAACGAGCAATCAATGAGTACAAACTCCAACAAAACACCTTTC